TTTTGTTGATGCATCAGACAGGGCTGCAAAGTACAGATTCAGTGCAACTATCTATTCCGAGCTGCTGGTAGGGACCACTTGAAATCAACGTGGCATTATCTAGAGGCAGTAGGCATCTGAAACATTTGAGGATGTGTGGGATGCCAAATTGGTTGAGTTCTTTTCCAAGACTCTCAGGCAAAATACATAGTGTGCTGGGTATCGTGGTGGATCTGCACAGCCTTAGCCAAGGCCTGAGGGTCCCGGCCGTTGCTCTGTCCTGACACATGACTGCCTTCCGCACTATAATGAGAACAAAACAAAACAAAACAAAAAAAAAAACAGGTGTTAAGAGAAGATTATGTCCAACTTCAGTTTTTCAGATAGCACAAACAGTACTAGATTCAAGAATATCTTGAGCTCAAGCTGGGCTACTCAAACAACTTTTCCTTAGACATGCTTGTTCAACTGAAAAATATAGTACAACTTATTTAATGGATGGTTGCAATAATTAAATAAAATAATATTCACAAGGACCAGGTGTTTGGTAGCACCCACATAAGGACTTCTACTGCCCCTTCTGTCTGGTTAGTTCCTACTCAACCTGCAGGCTTCAGTTACAAGTCATTTCCCTCTTAGAAATCTTCCCTGACTCTCAAGTGCAGGTCAGGGTCACCTAGAATATGTTTTCATAGACAGTTCTCCTTTCCTTTTATAGTACTAGACACAACCAAAATGAAATTGTTAATTGGGACATTACTAGGTATTATTGGGTATTTTTTTTCTTCACTGGAATGAAATCACCAAGAGAAGAGCATCCTTCTCCTCTCCCCCCTCTCCCCCCTTCTCCTTTTTCTTCTCTGAGACAGGATCTTATTATGAAGGCTTCACTGGCCTCAAACTCACAGAGATCCACCTGCCTCTGAGGTGTGCACCTTCATGCCTGGCTTAACTTCAGTTTTACTTGCTAACAATACTAGTTTCCTAAACTAACGAGTCTACAGACCTAGCAGAGTGCTCACAACTTTAAACACCCATCTTCAGGGTGGGCATCATGTAACATAGGAGCCTGGCAAACCATCCTTTTCAGTGCTGCAGAGTCCATCTAGGGCTTTATGTATGTACCCTAAGCACAACACTCACAACGGAGCTACACCTTGGCCTCTGACCTCTCTTTAAATGCTGATTACTATCCTAATCACCCTTGACTTCATCCTTTCCTCCCCAACTTACTTGATTCTATCCCAGGAAGAGCGTTTTACACTTAGCAAGGACAATCTTATTCTAACACAGTTTTCTGCCCCATGCCTGCTGTTCCCTTTTAATATGCTCCAGCCAAAGAAAACTTGCTACTGTCCAAAACTGTCACTCTCTCTCTCCTTTATGGCCACTGTCCTCTCTGCCTGGAAAATCCTCTTCCCTTTATAAAGCTAAGCCCTGCTCACCCAGCTATAAAATCTTTGCCAGCCTTTCCTCTGATATCCCACTGCAGTTATCTATACTGAGTTAGACTAGCTGTCGGTTTTATATTTGCCTTTATTATCTCCATATTGAAACATAAAATCCCTGCAGGCAAGAAACATGGCGTACTAATCTTGTTATTTTCTAGTACCCAGCACAGTATTGAGCACACAGTACCAAATAAATGTATTAAATGTGTGAATGTATATTGGAGAATGCAAGGTACAAAGCCACAGCTGGGCCTTTTCTGTGATAGTGTATTTTTCAATCCCTTACAGAAATAGACTTGCAGTGGAATGTCTACTATTTAGCAACTGAATTGAGACTTGGGGAAGAGCCCAGAAACTACTACACTTGACAGATTGCCATTTGGGAAAGAAAATTAATGCAAAGAGCTTATTTAGCCACCATTTATTGGCAGCTCAGTAATAGGTCAAAATGAGTCCCTTGAGATCCCTATCTGGGAATGAGGATAGTCGCCCCTTCTGTTTCCTCATAAGCCCTGGCTCACTTTGGTCATTTCTGGATTGTACTGGAAGCAAAATCAACTAGGTGGGACTCCCTCATGCACGAACTAGAATCCACAGGTTCTGACTACTCTGACGGGAATCACGGTGCTGTGCTGAGCACCTTTTGAGGCTGCCTGAGACCTCAGCAGAACTGAAATGCAGTTAGCTCTGCATGAAAACCACAAGCAGCTCCAACGAGACACTGCTAGAGACACAAGTTTAAACAAGCCTGAGCTCTTCTTGGACCGAAAGTCACATTGAAAACTCTCAAAGCCTCATGCACTTCTAATTTGCCTTGCAGGTTAAATCTTTTAAGAGCTTTCTATATAGCTTGTTTTTAAAACATGCTTCCACAACAGGAAGAGATTTTTGTTGAGGAACTTGCCTGTCATGATCTTTATCCACCAAATGATACCTTGCCCGAAATGCTACCAGCCGGGCATAATATGCAGGGGCAGGAATGGAGACCGAGCGCGTGCACCTTACGTAGGTGTGACAAAGCTGGTAAGTCAGCAGCTGGAGTTCGTCTGCAGTGAAGCAGTTGTCATCCCACAAGACCTGGTAATGTGAAGGGCGGCTGGTTCCCTGGAGGGAGAGTTTTAGGATTAGTGTATTTCATAGGACCTGGCTAGCTAGGAGAAAAGAACTGAAATCCAACTATTAAGCTCAACAGTAAGTATCTCTGCCTCACACACCTACAAGATCTCTAGAGCAGAGCACTTAACAAAGCTTAAGCATAGTGGTTTTTTTTTTTTTTTTTTTGGAGCTGAGGATCGAACCCAGGGCCTTGTGCTTGCTAGGCAAGCGCTCTACCACTGAGTTAAATCCCCAACCCCTTAAGCATAGTGTTCAATGACAAGTCTCCTCAGGCTAGATGCTGGCAAATATCTCCCTATCAAGTCAAAGATCTGGAACAGCTTCCAAATTACCTGAATTCCTGCATGACTACAGAGGTAAAAGTCAAACTCAGACGGATGTGTGATGGTACTGTCCACCGTAGTGCCTGCTGGGACATTGCCACTTTTCCCCACCTGTTAAAAAAAGACATGTACAGTTAATCATCTGAGTAACAAGCTTGTTTAAGGCCATTTTTTTCCATTAATTAGGAATAAGTTAGCAAATTGCTCTTATGTGAAGTCTCAAAACTAGATTAATTCAAGATGTTAAGCCAGAAATGGTGATTCATACCTGTAAACCTCAGCATTTGGGAGGTTGAAGCAGGAGGATTGTTTAAATTCAAGGTCAGCCAAGGTCAGCTTGGGCTACACTGTGAGGTCCTGCCTCAAAAAATAAGTTGGATCCCATTATAACTTTTCCTTAGCCCAGACACCATCCTAAAGCATTTTCTTTTTCTTCTTTTTGGTTTTTTGTTTGTTTGTTTTGTTTTAAATTTATTAAGTATACAGCATTCTGTCTGCATGTATGCCTGCAGCCAGAAGAGGGCTCCAGACCTCATTACAGATGGTTGTGATCCACCATGTGGTTACTGGGAATTGAACTCAGGACCTCTGGAAGAGCAGTCAGTGCTCTTAACCACTGAGCCATCTCTCCAGCCCCTGGCTGTTTGTTTTTCCAGACAGAGTTTCTCTGTGTAGCCCTGACTGTCCTAGATCTCACTCTGTAGACCAGGTTGGCCTCGAACTCAGAGATCTGCCTGCCTCTGCCTCCTGAGTGCCCGGCTCTAAAGCATTTTCTTAAGCACGTCTCCAGAGCCTCTTCTGGGGAATCTAAATAATGATTTTATCTATAGTTCTGTAAAGCAATATTGCCACATATTTATAGATGACAGTCTGTATGCAGAGAAGGGGGAGAACAGCATTTAAGGAATGAGAACGTAGCTCAGTTGTAGAGTCCTTGCTTAGTGTGAAAATGATTCCGACCCTGGGTTCAAGCCCCAGCACCGCAACAAAGAAAAACTCCAAGATAGATAAATATCCCCAGAAGAAATGGCTTTCATTCCTCATTTGAGAGAAAAATAACCACACACAGCTTTCAGCAAAAGATAAGATGAAGATCTTTGAACTGGTTCACCATGTTCAGCAAAGCTCATACTCTCATGGGGTCAGTCACAGAAGGTCCCCCGCAGAGGTTTTCCCGAAAGCTCCAACTGAGATGGAATGAGAAGACAGCTCACATCCAGGCCAGGCCTCAAGGCCACACACCTCGAACAGAGCCTCAACCTAATCATCTATAATATCTGGTGATGACTTTTTCTAAAATCCAAAGGTTCTCCAAAAACCAAAATCAAACTTCTAGAAAGGCAGAGGGGGACTCCAGAATGCACTGAACAGCAGCAGAATTAAAACTTGTTCCTCAGCCTATGTCTTCTGTTGTTCAGTAGAATTTAATGAGAGAGTTTAATTAGCACAGAGGTACACGTTCCCGTGGGGTTTGACTCCTTTCTAACTACTATTCCTTCCAGCTATGAGCACATAACAATACATATAGAACCTGGAGTATGGAGAATTCTTCCTTCACATTCATATTAAGCTTAGATATCTAGCCAAACCAGAGTATCTCCTGCTTATTTCAAGTTAAGGTTTCAGTTACTTGTGGTCAGCCAAGGTCCAGAGCACTACTATAGTGCAATGGAGAGCACTTGAAGACTTCTGAGCAGTGGGCTGTGTTTTAGAAGCCAGCCCCATAGCAGGAAGGGGAGCAATGGCGAAGAACAGACTGCTGGGGTCCCGGCACAACAGACACGCAAACTCGAGGTGAGAGGTCTGGGGCAGCACACAGGACACCACCTGACAGACTGGACATGGCGGGGACAACAAGGCAGGAAAGAAATTAAAAGTGACTCTCAAGTTTCCAGTTTGGCTAGCATAAAGCACAGTGATGCCAATAACAGAATCTAAGGAGAACCAGGGGAGGTTCTGGATGGGGATTAAACAGCAAGTGGGAAGTTTGGGCGTGTTTTGCTTGACATGCCTATGGTAGACTGAATTACTGGTGCCAAATATTTCTGTGCCCTTCCCTGGGGGAAGATTATACAGTTCCACCCAGCTACCACAGGAGCGGCCATGTGAACTGCTTTGATGATAAAAATGTGGCACTTCTGGGCAGAAGCCTTAAGGGCTAGCACACAGCTTGTCTTGTATCTCTTCCCTCCCGCCACAGCGACTGGCAAGGTTCCAGACGGGCTCTGTCAGCCTAGGTTCCAAAGGGAGGACAACAGGGTCACGGCGGCAGCAGGGCCACAGTGACGGTGTGATGTGAGCAAGAAATGAATCTCTGCCAGCCACAAGGAAGGGTTCTTGCTGTTATCACCACCACACAGCCTGCTCTGTGGAGATGAGCCAAAGCGCAGAGCACCTGAGTCAACGTGTCTGGTAGATAACTCAAAGCACAAATCAGGAGTCTGACAGAGCAATCTAGGGTAGAAATATGGATTCAGAGTTGATATAAACCTAGAAAAGTGGATGGAGCTGAAGACAGAGTATTGAAAACAGGAAGAAGGGGCAATGAGGGGCTGGAGAGATGGCTCAGTAGTTAAGAGTACTTGCTGCTCTTTCAGACATGGGTTTGGTTCCCAGCACCCACACTCCTCACACCCACGTGTAACTCCAGTCCCCAGGAAATCTGCCCCCTCTCTAAAGATCTCCGTGAGCACCACGCATGAATGTGGTACACATACATACATGAAGCAAGACACTCATATACATAAAATAAGATAAATGAATCTAATTTTCTTAAATAAAGATAATCTGACTGCAGAGGTGAGTGAGAAGTCTGAAAAGTCATATTGTCATAAGTGTGGCTAAGAGGTCAGTGTGGGAATCTGACCTGGCTGGAGGTGAAGACACAGAGGCAAAATTTCAGTTCTCTCTTGAGCTCCCTACTTCCTGATAATCAAATATGAAATTTGTTGGGATGGTACACTTGACAACAAGCCAAGTGATGATTCTTCTAACAGGAAATTTACAAAAGAGAAAAAAAGATGAAATAGCAAGTGAGAGGGAGAAGCAGAGGTAACAGATGTTTATTGGGGGAACTGGAACTGACAAAGAATTGAACAACCTTTGTAATAGGAGAAGGCAGCCATGGAATAAGAAAGATAAGGGTCTCTGAGCTGGCTCAGTGGTTGATGACCTGCACTCCATCTCTGGAACCTAGATATAAGTTGTCCTCTGACCTACAAACACCTACACACTAAATTAATTAATTAAATACAATTTAAATTTTGTAAAAGAATGAGAAAGACTTTAAAAAGAATCATTATGAAGTGAGGCTCTAGAAAAGGCAGAAAGAAGTGGAGTCAAAAGCACAGATGTGGAGATTAGCCTGAGATTTGAGGAAGGAGATAATAAAAGCACAAAAATCACATCTGAAAGGAAAGGGTAGGTAACTGGGAAAATCCATGCCTTCCAGGTCCCATCTTCCCAGAAAACAGAAGGCAGCAGAAGGATTCGGAAGGCAGCTGTGCTTGCCACTGTACCGGCAGAGCAGAAATAGGTTTTTGTTAGTGTTAAGACATCAAGGATAGGACTTAAAAAAAAAAAAAAGATTCAAGACAAACACTTATGGGGAATAGAGCAAAGAAAACAATCACAGCATTTAAGGTTTAAGGTTTGCTCTCATGTGTCTATAACACGGTTCACGAATACATAAGTGATTTGTTCAGCCAGCAACTCCCATCGGCCTGAGAGAAGCAAAGCAAATGAGCAAGTAGATACATTTTGGAGGTGGAGGCAGGCAAGAGGGCACGTTCAGAGAACTGGAGATGCTGTTCAGGGTATAAAGTAAACTAAAGAATTAGAACTGTCAATCCTGAATGATTGAGAGCTATAGGAAAGAAAGATAATTCAGGGTCTGGAAACAGCTCCGTGGTAAACTGCTTCCTACCATATTTGAGGCCCAAGTTCCATTTCCAGCACTGGGATTAGGAGGTAAGTAATCCAGATTTCCTCTCCACTCCATAGTGAACTGCACAGACAGCACGTTTAAAGTGGAGCAGAGAGGAAGCCATGGCAATAAAAGAGGGGTGACTGACAGGCAAGCATTCAGATAATCTGTATCATCAAAATCTAAGGAATATTACTGAGTCAGAGTTTGAACAAGGACAAGGATTTAATATAAACCGACTAGTAGATCTGGGGTCCTCAGGGAAAAAAACTCGGGTCTTCCGTGATGCACAAAACACCTCATCTCATCCTTGGAAAAGAGACAGTTTTGTCCTAGAAAACAACTGGAGGAGCCAGCAAGCTTACACGATTGAGCAACAGAAAAGATCTGGTCCTTCCTAGGCCTGGACAAAATGAAATAATGTCATGAAAAACATCCCAAAAGCAGTCATCCAATATAATATTCTTGTAACTTACCCAAAAGACTAAAACAAAGAAAGTGAGCTGAGCACTTATTGTTAACTACAGATGTCATGTGACAGCTGCCTCCAGCTCCTGCCACCGTGACTTCCCATCACGATGGACTGCACCCTCACAGTCTGAGCCAGAGTGACGTTTCCATCAGGTGTCTACTTACAGTGATAAGAAAAGAAACTCGCCAGGCGGTGGTGGCGCACGCCTTTAATCTCAGCACTCCGGAGGCAGAGGCAGGCGGATCTCTGGATTTGAGGCCAGCCTGGTCTACAGAGTGAGTTCCAACACAGCCAGGGCTATACATAGAAACCCTGTCTCAAAACAAAACAAAACAAAAACAAAAAAGAAAAGTAACTAATATACAATTCCCCAAACCGTCTCTCCAAAATTCTAGAAACCAGCATTCTTGTCACAAGAGAAAAATTCATTCTCTTTTTGTTTGTTTTTGTTTTTCAAAACAGGGTTTCTCTGTGTAGTCCTGGTTGTCCTAGAACTTATTCTGTAGACCAGGCTTGCCTCGAACTCAGAGATCCAACTGCCTCTGCCTCCCAAGTGCTGGGAATAAAGGAGTGTGGCACCACCATCCAGAAAGAAACATTCGTTCTTAAAACTCCTGTTATCCAGCACTTGTCACCTAAGTTGGACTGCACTTAATAGTTATTCAATTATCATTAGACATGGCCAGTTTTAGAGGAATACTGTATACATCTCCTCAGAACCACACTTGCTGCCACACAGATGAGGAAGTTTACAGCATGACCTCTTACCCTTTCTGTTTTATCTGCACAGAAGAGGCGAGTGTGATGTCTCTTTTGCACCACAATGTAGGTTATCCCAGGCCGATAGTCTTCCTCCAAGCTTATACAGGCCTTTCGAATTGCTAATAGCTCCGGCCAAGCTACCTAGGAGACAGAAGGGGGATTTTGTTTCCCGGAGGCCTCAGCTCTCAAGCAGCAGACCTGGGGGGGTGCTCTGTCGGAGTGCTGGGAGGAGGGCACTGGGCTGACGGGAGCACCTGTTTCATCTGTCCCTCGGACACCCCTCCACGGTAGTAGATGATGCGAGTGGGCTTGAAGCGCGTGGACTTGTAGAACTGAATCAGCAGCTCCCGAGTCATGCTTGTCAGATCCTGCACGATCTCCTGACTGTAGAGGAGCTCCTGAGCAATCTCCTGCCGAGACGTCTGCACCCGAACTGTGGCACAGTACCGGCTGGGGTGGCCGTCCATGCTGCCCACCACAGCTGCGATAGACGGCTTCTTCCCGTCCCCAGCAGGCGGGTGAGTGACATCTGCTCCCAGGAAAATGACAGGCTGCTGGAACACTGAAGGCCTGTCCAGATTTAAGAAGACAGTGCCACATGGGTACAAATCTTTTGAGTCTAGAAAAACATATCATCAAGATAACTGCAATCTTAGACAAGAGGACCTATGCCCATTAGGAAAGAACATTAGCCTTCCAAACCCAAATCTCTTTAAGTTGTGAAATTTAAAGAAAAGAGAATCAAGTCCATTTTTTTGTTTTATTTTTATACATAATATTTATCACTTATATCACATATTTTACTTATTTTTATTTGCACACACAGACCTATACAATTCCTACAAGAGAAGGAATTTTGTTACATCATGGTTATTACTAGTACCTAGAACATAGAAATTCCTTAGCTCATACTTGGCTAAGTTGGTAAATATTGGTTGAAAATACAAATTCATTCAGTGTCATTGATTCCTCTATCTAAGGAATCAAAGAAAAGTATGAATGGTTTTCTGATAAAAGCTAGTCAAAAAAATCCAGGTGTGGTGCTATCTATAACTCAACACTCATGTCAGGAGGTGAGAGCAGGAGGATAAGGAGTTGAAGATCACCTTTGGCCCTGTAAAGAGTTCAGTTCAAGACCAGTTTAGTATACATGAAACCCAATCTCAAAAGGACATAATCCAGACATGATGGCACATACCTACAGTTCCTAATACTTAGGCAGGCAGATTTTGAGTTCTAGGCCAGTCTGGTCTACATAAAAAGAACTTGTCTCAACAAATAAATGAATTTTTAAAAACACATAAGAGAATAAAGAATGTACAAGGCCAGAATCCGAGCCTAAAAAGGTATATCAGGGGCTGGAGAGATGGCATGGTCAGGGTTAAGATAGTAGATGGCTCTTCCAGAGCATCTGAGTTCAGTTTCTAGCATCCACACTGGGCAGCTCACAGCACTACAACTCCAGTCCCAAGGGATCTGACATCTCCAGCCTCTGTGAGCACTTGTACTGGTACCTTCATGTGCACATGATAACACCTCTGCACACATGCGTACATAATTTAAAAATATGTAAGAAAAAAAGAAGTTGATAACAAATAATAGGTCCTAAGCCCCTAGGTCATCATATTATCCCAGATATTTTGAGTAAAACTCAATGGTTCCAGACTTTAGGTTAACTTCACCTGTGAACTACATGCCTCATTATCAATGTTTCAGGAAGAATTTAGTTACCTAGAACTTACACTCACAAAGAGATGAGAACTGTGTGGAAGGCATTCAACTTTACCTTCTGCCCAATACATCGATGGCCAAGGCTACAAAGGCTACAGCCCTTGGTGTAACTTTTCAAATTACTTTCACATCTAAGATTTCATATAAAAATCCACTTGGGCAGAAATACCCAAATCTTTCAATCCTCATCAGTACTCTGCTGACAAGAGCACTATCTTGCCTTAGTGTTTGGTTACTCCAGAGCCAATCCAACAAGTTCAATTTTAAACAAAAGCCCATCGCTTCGAGTGGAGAGCACTCAGTCTCATTAGGAATCCCTGAGGCCTGGGGATGTGGCTCAGTGGTGGAGGGCTGATGTTGCTTGTTTGATATCCCACAGCAACAGCACAACAAAATGTTCCTCAAAAGTCTCTATTGAGAAGAGCTGGGGAGGGAGGGAAGAAGGAAGGACACAATAGGGCATGCTACACCAGTGATTCTATTTGCAGGCGGGCCAACAGGTGAAAGCAATCTATACTGGAAGGTCAGAAGAGCTGTTTCTTGTGGGTTATCTGTCTGAGGATAATCTGAGTTTCACATAAGAGGCAAGAGCTGTGTCAGTAAGCTACAGTTCTGGCCCTGGGAGTTGTCCATTTGGAGTGGGAAGAGAAAACCTGATAGAGTCTGGAAACACTCTAAGTCTTCGTGGTGGTGGCTACGTGGGTTACACAACACTACCTAAGAAACAGTCGCTCGCTGAGATGCGAATTTGAGATGTGTGGCTTGTTGGGTTTGCCCTGGTGGGAACGGAACCCAGGGCCTTGCATCCACTAGGCAAGTGCTCTACCACTCAGCTACATCTCAGACCTTGGTTTGGTTTTGTTTGAGACAGGGTATCACTGTATAACTTTGGCTATCCTGGAGCTCACTATGTAGATCAGGCTGGCCTGGAACTCATAGAAATTGGCCTGCTTCAGACTCCTGAGTTGCTGGGATTAAAGTTTGTACCATCACACCCAGCTAAATCCTTCCTTTATCTTTTTCTTTCTTTCCTTTTTCTTTTTTTGAAACAAGGTCTTGCTAATGTAGCCTAGACTGGCATGGAATCCACAATACTCCTGCTTCATTTCCCCCCAGTAATGGTGTGTACCACCATATCTGGCTGGAAGGGTGTCCTTTATCATAAATCACATAATTTAGATTTTTAAATAAAAGCGGGAAAAACAAGTCATGACCTTACCTTTGATGAGGTACAAGTACATTGTTAATTCCTCCAAGCTTTGCGTTTATCTTCAGGCAAAGGTTGGAAAGGGTTTGGGGTGAGGTCTTCACAACGTTTTTGACCTGGACACACTGTGTGGCCATACCTAAAAGGGTATCTCCAACACGCTTCACCTCCGCTATAAAATAAGTCAATAAATTAGTTCGCTTTAAAATGCTTAGTCACCTAATGTGAGTGAAGGAAAAAGTACTGAACATTAACATTCACAGACTGCACAGTGCTAGGTGCAGGTCAAAGGTGCGTCTCCCTTTCCTGCCCTGCCGCAGCTCTGGAAAGCAGCCCACTTCCTTATTCTTCGGGTGCTGCCTGCTGCCACTTGCTTAGTCCCTTAAGAGCTCCTCTTCCTCAGAACTGGTCTGGTAAAGGAACTCATCTCCTGGTTCCTCGCTCCTCAGAGCACACACCAGCCCTTTGAATTTGACTTTTCTCTTGGTCTAAAGCTTAGAGATACACAGGAAGTGGACAAAAGCAGCAAAGAGAAGGTCGGGACGTCGGTCTTCACTCGAGGGTAACCAGAGAAGCCCCTGCCTCTCTTCCACAGACACAAACGCAGCCCATCCTCTTCTGCAAGCAGCAGCCCCACCCCACTGCTCTGTATTCTCCCCACTCTGATGATATTCTTAAGTGCTCTTCCCCAGGACAGTCTACGACTTCCAGTCCCTGGACTATGGAAGCCCTACCCAGCATTTCCACCCTCTGTCTAGTCACCTCCTCCCCGCAGGCTGGTTAAGGCCTTACGGCTGGTTATATCCACAAACACGGTGGCAGAAACCTTGTAAACAGTGTCTGCTCTACCAAGTTGGGTCTTGGAATGAGGAGGATGTGGTTGTATGGAGCAGAGGCCACTGTCTATCATGAATAGACACAAAAAAGGAACAGGTAATAAATCTTGGCCGGGATGTGGCTCAGCTAAGAGTACTTCCTACCATGTATGAAGCCCTGGGTCCAACCTCCTGTGCCATACAATCAGGTGTGGAGATTCATTCCTAGAATCTGAGCACTGGGAAGTGGAGGTGGAATTCAAGGTTCAAGGTCATTCTTTACCACAGAATGGGTTCAAGACTAGCCTGACCTACATAAGATCTTGTCTCAACAAGAGAGAGGGGGTCAGAAGGGAGGGGTAGAGGAAAGAAAAGAAGAAAGTGTCGCCATGTTGTATCCCCCCAAGCAAAGTACTCTAGCACTAAGCTGTCCCCTCTACACATACTGGCTGTCTCTGTGTCTCAGATCACTGAGAATGGAGTTGGAACTGTGGCATCACCTAGCTTATCCTGTCAAACCCGGGACTTGAAATCATCCCTCATTCAACATTAAAACAGTTCATACCATATACTGGTGTCTTTCCCGGCAGGATAACCACTATCAGCTGCAGGCCCACATATGTCATTTTCAGATGTTTAAACATGGGCTCCACACTGTCGGCACCTTGTGCGTACTTGCAGAAGCATGGCTGACCCTGGATAGGCATCCCCGCATCCTTGGAGATTTTACGAAGCTGGTCAGTGAAACTCCTGTTAAGATAGACCCAGCACACAGTGTTTTCATTTTCACATGTAAACAAACAAACAAAACTTTCAGCAGTTGCCAAAAACAGATTGGCAGTTGTACCACTGCAATTATAACAGAACAATCTGTATTAGTACACTACGGAATCAGTTTGGATTTTTATTACTATTTTTTGTGATATCAGAAATTAAACCCAGAGCTTTAAATATGGTAAGCAAGCATTTTGCCACTGAGCTATATCTCCAAACCCCATTTTTTTAATTTCTAAAAAATTATGATTCAGCTGAGACTTAGGGACTAGAACAGCATTTATATTCAAAAGATTTTTAAAAATATAATCAAATAAGTAACTCAGAAATGAAAAAAACAGGATCACAATTTTAGGTAACATATTTTGGTAAGGCTGGTAAAGAAGGGGAGGTGAGCTCGTGTTCAACTGAGAACATCTGAAGATAAGTTTAGAATTAGAAAAAAAACTTGTAATAGGTTTGGTTCAATAAATCAACATTAATTTTTTTCATTTTGAAGTTTTAAATTTTAAATTTAAGCTGGGTGGTGGTGGCGCACGCCTTTAATCCCAGCACTCGGGAGGCAGAGGCAGGCGGATCTCTGTGAGTTCGAGGCCAGCCTGGTCTACAGAGTGAGTTCCAGGAAAGGCGCAAAGCTACACAGAAACCCTGTCTCAAAAAACAAACCAAAAAAAAAAAAATTTAAATTTAAGAAATTACTTCAATCTATGCATAAATTAGGGTCTTGTGATTTAGCCCTATCTGGCCTGAAATTTGCTGCGTAGACCAGGTTGGCCTCAAACTCAGGGTTCCACCTGCCTCTGCCTCCCCAGTGTTGGGATTAAAGATGCGTGTCGCCACACCTAGCCTCAACATGACTTATTTTGTATATTTGCTAACATCTTGTGGGATTCCTTTTTTTTCACCCCAGTTCTGCTTCTTGATTTTCTTTACCCTTCTCATGGACTTCCTTACATAGAAGGTATAATATCTGTAGGAGGTGATATGATCGATACTCTTAGACAGTTTTCCCGCCTGTAGAATTGTCCAAATAGCATGGCTTCAACCTCGTCACTCACAAATTTCGACTCTAGCTATGTGGAAGCTGAGTTAGAGTTTATAACACAGCACAGGGTCTCTTCTGTAGAGCCAGATGACATCACTATGGGCGGATATCGGGGGGCCAGTGCCAGGGTACCCAGCACAGTCACATAAAGACGGCATTTCGTATCTAGAAGGGTTGTTACTGAGCTGAAAATGGGATACTCACTTTAGCAAATCTTCCCTACATTGTTTCTGAGGCGCAAAACAAGCCACTGCCCAAACTTTAATCTCAATGCCAGCATAAAACTGCTTTCCTCGCATGTCCCAGACACCCTGGTTGGGTGTGGCTACTGTTTTATTCTTTGAAAAAACAAAAAAGAAACAAAAGAAAAGAGAAAAGGTATTACAATCTAAGACCATTTTTATGTTGAAGAGGGAACAAACAAAACTTTATTTGGTACGGTCAGAAGACAGAAGGCAATAAGGAGCACGGAGGCAGGTAAGTTCAAAGGTGTCTCTTTTATGGGAATGGCGTGGAGCAGCTTACCCGGCCTCCGTACTGCAGCATGGGAGCTGGGAGGACCCTGCCTGTGAGCTCCGTCATCTCGTTGTGGACGACGATCCCAAACTCCTTCAGGTATGGGTCAGGCCCACCCACCATGCTGTTGCTCTTTACCTAAGGAAGGGAGAAGCTGCACATGAAACCAGACAGGAACTGTGCCCCTCAGGATTGTTTACTCTTTATTTGTTCATCTCACAGCGGGCTGATCTGGAGATCGCGATTTACTGACCAGTCTACTGATTTCCTCCTGCCGGTCAGGAGCAGATCTTGCTGTGGCTTTGATCATTGTGGATGTCTGATTGTCTGTGAGCTTCTTTATACATCTCTGTCCTGCCACTATATTACAGACCTGCAAAGAGACAAAGAGAAGTCAGGTTTTGTAGAAATGGGCTTACACATGAAGTCTTTGCCCATTTCCAGGAAAAAAAAAAAATAGTTATAAAATTCTATGCACAAAACACTTCAAAAAGACTAAATTCTACCACTAGTTTAGAACATCTTTTGTTTGTTTGTTTGTCTGTTTGTTTGTTTTTCAAGACAGGGTTTCTCTGTATAGCCCCTGGCTGTCCTGGAACTCGTATGTAGACCTGACTAGCCTTGAACTCACAGAGATCCACTTGCCTCTGCCTCCCCAGTACTGGGATTAAAGGCATGAACACTTTTTTTTTTTTTTAAAGAAAAATTAATTCAAGAGATTGGCAAAAGAAAATTTCATTTGGCTTACCTCAAGTGGCAAGTATGTATGCTTCTGTTCTTGTCCCACCTGAAGGCAGGGCAGATGGGAGTACTTCAGCTGCAGACTATACTTCTGCTTGAAATACTGAGCTACTGTACATTCCAGAGCCTGACCGTTTTCTAGCTGCAAAGGAAAGCTAGAGGAAAGAAAGTGTATTTAGAACTTTTACTATTTTTTAAAGAAGTAAACAAAAGCCACTAACATTTTCTATGTTGATTACTCATTTAAGAAACAAAGGTCAAGGGCTGATGATGCGACTCAGTGGATAGAAAGCTTGTTTAACATGCTAAACAGTTTTTGATCCCCTGTGTTTGGTCCCCAACACTACATAAACCACAAAAATAGGCATGGTGATACACGCCTGTAATTCCAGAGTTTAGGAGATGGAGGCAGGAGAATCAGGAGCTCAAGGTCACCCTCACTTATATAGTAAGTATGAGGCCAGCCTGGACTACAATAAAACTCTCAAAGGGGTTGGGGGAGGAAGTAAGATGGCTGACTAGGTGAAGGTGCTTGCTACCAAGCCTGACAACAGAGTCCAGTCCCTGGGACTCATGTGATGGAAGGACAGAGCCAACTCCAGTAAGAGAAAGAGAGAGGGAGAGAGAGAGAGAGAGA